ATATAAAGGTATACTTTATTTATATATTAAAATAATTTATAATTTTAAAAACAATTAGAAAAATAGTTTACGTAATTACATTGCAAATATGCATTGTCGTAAAATTAAACGTGATGATTAGTGCCTTAAAAAAAAAGATTCTAATTTAATCATATTTATTATAAGACTCATGGAATTCCTTAATATGACATTTTGTTGAATAAATCTATGAGTGCATTCCGTTTCATGCATGCTGCATCATTTATCCTTGTTGTTCCAAATGTTAAACAAGGAATTCGATCATCGTAATGCTACAAATACTTTGAAGTGTTTTTTTAATTGATTAGTTTATAAAATTCTTTCTTCTAATTGTTTCGTCAAATGCTTCAAAGCATTTGTAGCGAGACTTTGACCAAAGCCAAGGATAAAATGATGCATCATGCATATTATGCGTGAAATGGAATGCACTCTATGTGACGACGTGCATTAAACAACGTTTTGAATTGAACATGTCCACATGTACTTGAATATAAATTTTCCTATTTGCTTTATAAAAAATTTGATTTTTCTTAGGTAAAATAATATTTTTAGAGGAAATAATTAATCTGTAACATACAATATACAGTAATATAGGAAAGAAAATATAGATAAATTTTTATTTAATACTTAAATTTAAACTCCATGACAAATTGCAATTAGATGTAATTTATTAAAATATTTTGTATAAAAATTATGTATTCTAATTTTTTGAGTTTATGAAAACAGAACAAATCCAAAGTAAATAATAATCATGATCATTTATAATTATTTAAGATATTGTACATAAATGTCTGTAACTATTTACCTTTAAAAGATTGAAAAATCTAAAAGGCTTATGAATGTACATTAATTAGATCAAGTAATTGATGTTGAAATCTGAATTTCTAATCTTCCGTATGTATATTTATATGCCGACAAATTTATCATATATACATATATAATCATATTATACTATATCACTTCCCTTTATATGTATAAATAGAAAAATGCATAAAATATTATAAGGTGCGTTCTTTCACATAATTCTCAGAATAAAAATAAAATATCCTGCTTAACTATATTTTCTGTGTCGCAATCATTGCATTACTATTAAAAATAGTTGATCTACCAAATCATTAAAAACTGGATAATTATTGCTATTAATTTGATGACAAATATGAAGTTGGTATGTACAGATTATTCAGAATTTCCACATAAGAATAATCACATTATATTTGTTATAAGGAAATTAATAAAATGCATTATTGCACTTTATTAATTAAAAAAAACTATTTTTATATAAAATATATATAATTATAAGCTTATTGTTTTAAAGT